AAATTTAAAATTCCAAAATAAAAATTTAAAAATAGTTAAGTCAGAAAAACTCCAAAAAAAAAAAACTTATAACTCACTAAAAACTAGAAAAACTGTCTTCTCATAATTGTCATTGCTTAGTAGAAGTTACATATTAAAGGTGCTTATTTCCATATTAAGTACATTGCTGCGCACAAAAAATAAATGCGCTAAGGTTTTTTTTAAGTATAAAGAACAACAGAAAGATATTAACAATACTACCTATTTACTGAACAAAGAAAAAAAAACAAAAAAAAAAAATAGAGATAAATAAAAAATATGACTACAATTGGAGGGCTCATGTAAAAATATGTGTGTGTATGGCCACCATGTTATAATAGGAGTTTCACACTAAAAACAGTGCGCATAAAAACAGTTGCGCTCGCCAACACAATAAAAAAAAATACACACACATAACTTAATTTCACATATTTGTGCATTTTTTGCGCATTTTTGACGTTTTCGCAATAGCACTACGCAAATGCTATCATTTGGGTCTTATCTTTTCATACATAAATTTTTGCATATGCTTATTATCGGGCACAGTCAATTTGCGCTTATTGTATTCGAATTGTGTCAATGCAAATTCGTACAATTCATTCTCCATTTGCCAGATTTTCGTTTTATGTATGGTATTTATTGTGTCGTCGTTGGGTGCTATCTTCCAAGACGTTTGACGTAGATGGGATTTATTGGAATGTTGATAGTGTTCGCGGAAACCATGAAATATGCTGCAAAGCAAAACAATGCCACGTTATTGTTGTTTTCAAATGCAGAATATACATATGTATATGTGTGCGTAGTGGTATATTTACCGCGGCAATGAACGCTCAAGCAGATCCACAAAGTCTTCCATTTGCTCGGTAACGCCAACCAGAAAATATTCATTAACTAAATTATGCTTAGCTTGATTTAATGCCCACTCGCTGCCTGGCTCCCTACAAAACACAAAAAATATATATATAATTTTTTTTTTTAATTACTAATTGCTTTTTATGAAAGATGATTTAACATACCAGCACTCTGCTGCATGACCACAAAAGAATGGTATTTGCAGCCACATATTCTTTGGATCACAGTCTGGTTGTTTCGATAGAACGCATTCATCGAAAGTCTGCAATAGAAAATTATTACAAATATTTTTCAAGACAATTATTAAAATATGCATACTCACAATTTTATTACCCGCCTTTTTACGTACTAAATTCGGACGATAATTATCACCATAACGTAGAAAATAATAATAGGAAACTAGCCTATCCAATGGCTTACGTACTATATTAATATAAATAGGTTTGTGCGCAATTTGAAATCTACAAAAAAATAAGATATTATTACTATAAGCAAGCAATTATAAACTAATGCCGCCAAAAATTACTTGGAAAAGTCCAAAAACGCCATATGACCATGATAAAGGGCTGTATTAAAGATAAAATGTAAAAATATTACTAAAGTAAGCAACATAAAATAAAAAACGCACTTACCCGGCTTCATTTCATGCCATTTGGTAACGTTACGCACAAACGTAATCTGCCAAAAAGACCAAAAAATATTTTTTTTAAGATAATAATTTTTAACATATAAAAACTGATTTCCGTCAAGGCCACTCACCTGATTGGGCAGCGATAGCACATGCATATTTGCCGTCACATTTATATGCAAGACATGAAACTTATTACGCTTACATAAATCGTAAGCAATATTAACAAAACTGGTGGATCCCGTTTTGGGCACACGATTATATAGCACTACTAATTGTTCTTCATAATCGAAATTGTCTAGTGCAAGTGAATCACCATTTGCAGCAGCAGCTATACGGCCCAGAGGTTTAATCGCTAATATAATGTATATTAATAACAATTAAGTAAATATATACATATACAACAATAAATGTACGTTTACTAACCATTACTCCACGTCTCTTCAATGCGCACTTCCGATGTCCAAATGTACCAATAGGCACCTAATCCCAGAAGGCATAGTGCACTGAAAGCGAACCAATGCAACGGCTTCCAACCTACCAGCATTTTTTTCAATTTCTTATGCCAACACAATAGCCACTTCATCTTCATATCAACAACAACAAACGCTTTGAACTACGTTATGATATGAGTTTTGCTGTCTGGCGCTCATTTTCGTTGATATTTCTGTGTTCGCACCACTATCGCACACATTTAGATAAACTGAATTAATTTATACTTGAGAAATTTAGCAATTTACAATACAAAAGCAGCTGTTGTAATTAGAAATATGAAGACACCCTTTACCAGACTGCTAATTGAAAGCTGTAATGTGATCAGCTGTTTGTGGTTAAACAAATGAAGGAATGCATTCCACAATGTTGCCGGATGGTAAAATAATTTACTTCTGCGCTAGCCAAAATGAAATTGAATTGCTATTAAATATATTAAAAATTGTAAAATGCCATTTTTTATGCGCAATATTGTATTCCTTGCGGCAACAGGTAAATAAAACATGATTATTTTGCTTTGTAGGAGCAAGAAGCGAATAAGTTAACAACCTTATTCATTTTATACAAATTTTTCCGTTATTATGTAAGCAAATTGGACCACCGTGCGTTTTGTAGCGTTTGACAATTGTGCGCATTGAAGATTTTTAAAGTGTAGTAACTTTCTGGATTTTGTAGCTGTTGTGATATTTTTGCACTAAAACAACAAAAAATTGTAAACAAATAAATGGAAATTGAGTTAAACACTGGTAATCTACGTAATCTGTGTCGTATTTGTTTGGGTGCAGGCGATTACAATTTGTTAGAACACAAAGTGCTTTGGAACGACACTACGATAGAAAATGATTCTCTGGAGTCTGACGCACAAAATGAAGCAGCGATTTCCATACACGAAGTATTGCAAATGTATAATGATTGGCAGGTAAGCTTGCAGATAGCATTGGGAAACTTTAATTAAATTTTTAAAATTTTCCATTTACAGCATTCAATACTTGAATTCGACGTCGAACTACAGCTGATTTGCAAAGAATGCTTACTTGAGCTACAACCACAGTATATCTTCTACAAACGCTTATGCGCCGCTAACAAACAAATAAAACAGCTCTACGAAGAAGCACTACAGCAAGAAGAATGTAAAACAGCATCAGTACCCGAGCCAGTTGTGAATGATAAAGTGGAATATGATAATAATTTAGTTGAATATGTAGAATATGCAACAGAACGGTCACAACGTGATCAGCACGTGAATTTGCCTGAACCATGTATCGAAAAAATAGTGTCAGAACCTTCACAAATACGTATACAAAACACACTTAAACAACCGGAGAAACGTAAATTTGTGAAAAATCCAAAATTCATACTCACAGGCGGTGTAACACAATTACTTACACATGCCACATGCACCACCACATTCGAGTCACCTGCGGAAGCCACTTCGCAGGAGTTTCATTCAAATACCCTATATAGCCCACATAAACGAAAAAGAAAAGTAGATGATGTGGATATGCATACACTACTTGAGAAGAAAGAAAGAAGTGATCACAATTTGTTTATAGAACACATACCGAATGTCATAGAAAAAGGAGGTGAGCAAAATGTGGAAGTTAATACCGTTGTGCCGGAAATAGAGCAAATCGTACATGAAGTACCACCAAATGAATTAATTGAATCTGGTTTAGGCGAACCGTACCAGGAACTTATCACAAGCACACAACATAATGAGCAACAACAACAACAACAACATGAACTTGTAAGTGAAAATGACGAGCAAGCTGCTTTACCATATTCTACAGTGAGTGCTGATGATGCTGGACGCTCCATTTACGTATGCAAATATTGTCCGCAAGCTTTTACGGCGCCCTGCTTCCTGTTGACACATGCACGCAAGTCACACGTTTGTAAACATTGTAGCAAAGCCTTCGTCAAAACTACCGATTTGTTTGCGCATTTAAGAGAATCACACACAGACTTTAAATGTAAATATTGCGGGAAAGAGCTTAGTTCTAATGGCAATTTACGCGCCCATATAAAACGTATGCATCAAACAACGACTGATTTGACATATTCACCGCACATCATTAAAAATTTCGTTATGGGTAATAGTACAGAAGAAATTGTTGATGGTGGTGGAGAAAGCATTTACATAGATGACACCGAACAACATATAACTGAATATCTTGACTAAAAAATAATTAAAATTACAAAGAAAAAAAAAACGCTTTGTGGTTAATATCAGGCTCAATTGTCCAAATTTTGTTGTAAAGAAAAAATTAAGCAGAATGTTTATTTATGAATCTATAAATTAAATTACGATTTTATTTTTTAAATTACTTCAACTGTTGCATTGTTTGTGTCCGTCCAGAAATTAAGTGCATTCTGTGTTACTTCATCGCCTTTTATTTTGTCTTCACCATCAATGTACATAGGCGTAAATTCACGATAAGCAATACAAACACGCCTACTTTTTACATCCTCACGCAGTACTGAATGCTCGAATTGGTAGCGTGCAGGTCCATACATTACCATCAGGGAGAGACTAAGTAAACATGTTTAAAAAGCCACTATTAAGAATAAAAATATAAAATTCGGCATCCACTTACTTTGGCATAGCTACACGTATAACTTTATCCTTATAAAAATCCAATTGGTTCGCTCCCATCAACGGTAAAAGTAATTGTTTCTCATAATGCGATACCAAATGCAAATTATATTTTTGAGGATTTTTAGAGGCATCAAAAGCGGTTAGCGTTAATACTGCATCTCCCAAGCAATTCACAGTCACAACACGTTCTCCCCATATCCAACAATCATCAACATGTGGATCGATGGATGCGCCCTTTGATGGTTCATACTCCAGTGAGCATTGCTCAATTGTCTGAAAGTCACTCAATACAGGCACCTCACGTAGCCGCTGTTGTACAAAACGTGTAGTTGCTGGAAATCCATTAAAGTTACCATTCTTTAACTTTCGTTGACGAAAATTGGTTTTTGGTCCGAAATTTTGTTTGCGACGCCCACTTTGTGATATTACCCACGGCAACACATCTAAATTTTCCATTAACTCTACACTTTCATTTGTACGCAGAAAATGCTCCTGCACATACATTCCGGGAAATGGTAATCCTTCATGATTGTTGTGTTCTGGATGTTGGTCACGCACTTCCGATGGGTCCCAACCTTCGAAAAGCCGTTCGCATAGAGGGCAATATGAATACGCTTTAAGTTCATTGAGTTGTTCAAGAAGTGATGATTTTTGTATGTTAAAATCCTTTTCGCACTGTAGACAGGTGCGTACACCTTTGCAACCGCAAGGACGTATGGTATTCATTGCTCAATACCGGCGTTTAATTTATTTAGGTATTATTTAAACGTGTAACAAATAAATATCTTAAAATTTCGCCAAACTAAGAGCAGCTGATTGCCAAAATACCGTATTCGCGTAATTATTTGCAAGAATATTCATAACAACTGTGAAATTTTTTAAAAACAATATATTGATATGTTCAATAAAATAACACTTTGTACTGTTTTAAAAAAGAATACGGTTTATTATAAAAAGTACTTTTAAAAAATACAAAGTAAATTTGGTAATACGGACCACCAACCTTCAAATTCTGGCAGCACCAATGTGCTATCACAAAAATAACAGTCAGCTGAGATTATTTTTGTTACGGATAAGTAAATTGTTTAGTCATCGCAAAGAAATGATATTTGTTTATAATATTCATGAAAATTGCTAAAATAGATGCAATTAAAGCCACAAAATGAATAACACTAATCCAAATATATTTTTTAATCCACTTATTAGTGGCATACAAAAGGTGGTACTCTACGAAACGCGCACTGTGAGTAACTTCTTCCACTATATTTTTTTGTTGGTTCTAATTTGGCGTGTATATTTTAGCGTCTCTACCTTGTTGGCAGCAATAATCGGGAAACGCGCTTTCGCATGCTTACAATTGATCGTACCAAACATGACCGCGTTGCCATCGATGAGAATCCCAACGAGCTAAATGCGTTGGAAATACGCAGATTCCTCATATCACTCGGCAGCTCAGCGCGCGTTACCTCCGCTTATGGTGTATTGGGTTTTGTGCGCTTTCTTGAAGGCTACTATCTGCTGCTCGTCACTAAACGCAAATGTTGCGCACACATTGGCATGCATTTGATTTACACCATAAAAGATACGGTTATGGTGCGCGTTAATGAACCGACTACATTGCGGGCACCACATCCCCATGAAGAACGTTACAAGAAAATGTTTCAGAGCATCGATTTGCGGAGTAATTTTTATTTTTCTTATTCATATGATTTAACGCGCACGCTACAGTATAATGAGTCGGCACCGCGTTTTGTAGGACCAAATGTAGACTTGGACAACGATGAGCCGTTGCCCGACTGGGATAAACTCACCAATAATGTTGTCGCGCCGGATGAGCGTGTGAACTATGCATTTCGTAGCAATTCGCGTACGCGCTTTGTCTGGAATGCGTTCCTCTTGCAGCCGATGCGTGTCATTGTGCTTAAGGATTGGATGTTGGAAGTGACGCATGGCTATATTAGTCAATCGTGTATTAGCGTTTTTGGACGGCATGTTAATGTATGTTTAATTGCACGACGTAGTACACGCTTTGCGGGTACAAGATTTCTTAAGCGCGGAGCCAATTGTATGGGTGATGTAGCGAATGAAGTGGAGACCGAACAAATAGTCACAGACGGTCAACGCATGTGCTCGTTTACACAGATGCGCGGCTCAGTGCCCTCACACTGGTCACAAGATGTTGTCAAAATGGTACCGAAGCCACAAATACAATTGGATATTTGCGATCCATTTGCGCAAACACCGGCACGTCATTTCGATCGTCTACTCTTTCATTATGGCTCACCGCTAATCATGTTGAATTTGGTGAAGAAACGTGAAAAGCGTAAACATGAATCAATCATCTCCAAAGAGCTGGTCTACAGCATACGTTACTTGAATCAGTTTTTGCCACCGCAACACCGTATGAAGCATATACATTTCGATATGGCGCGCAAGAGTCGTGGTGGCGGTAATGTCATGGAAATGTTAGCCGACATAGCGGAGAGTGTTGTGCAACAGACCGGCATGTTTTTCAAGGCGCGCGGTAGTGAGTGCACGTTCCAAACAGGCCTAGTGCGTACGAATTGCGTCGATTGCTTGGATCGCACCAACACTGCACAATTCGCTATTGGCAAGTGTGCCTTGGGTCATCAGTTGGAGCGTTTGGGTTTTGTTAAGTCCGCGAAACTCGAGTTCGACTCAGACTGTGTGACCATGTTGGAGAATCTGTATGAGGAGCATGGCGATACGCTGGCCTTGCAATATGGTGGCTCGCAGCTAGTACATCGTATTAAAACATACCGTAAAACGGCCGCGTGGGCTTCACAAGGCAACGATATAATGCAAACGTTGAGCCGCTACTACAGCAATACATTCAGCGATACGGAGAAACAGCATAGTATTAATATTTTCTTGGGCTATTACATACCCAGCCGAAGTCACACAAAACGTAGGTTTACTAAAGATACAAACTTTCACGATTTTGCTTGATTTTTAGAGCCAAGTCGTGTGTATGGAAAACTGTTTTTTCTTACTTTCAATATTAATTTTTTTTTTTTTTGYTTATTTGTAGAGAACCAACCAATCTGGGAGCTGCAAACAGACTACTACATGCACAACGTCTACAAACCACTCACACCAGAAAATGAAACCCGCCTAATTACCGATTGGGTGCGTCACAAAGTGCGCTCCTGTCTACCACACTCCACTTCAGACTCGAATAAAATTGTCAAAGAACTATTTCGCGTGCATTCCAAAGGTCTCGAAATGATCGATGCCTACTCGAATTATCATCAGTCATTTAAATGGACCGATCTCAGCGAACACATAGCTTTCGAAATTAGTCAACTGGCACTACGTTATATGCCCACATTCCGCACCAACTACTCGCCATTCCAGCGGCAAATACAAGATCGCAAAGCACGCAAAAATCCTAACCTTACTGGTCAAAGTTCCACCAGCTCAACGAATAGCAATTCATCGAGTTCCAGTTCCGAAGCGGATGATAGCTCCACTGATGAGGATATAAGTGCCGGCTATGCTGTTAAGGATGCCAATCAAACTGTATTGATAGAACAAGAACCATTCACGCTGGAATCGGTGTTGCCGCCTATGGATGAGGTATACGGTTGCCGGATTAGCAATCCATCCAAAGCAAATATGGATATATACCGGAAATATGTACAGTTCGGTAAATTGGCAACTGGCAATAATAATGGTTTCGCGCTTTCAACTGCGGCAGCACCACGTGAACGTGATAATGAAATGGCTAATTTAAAGCGTAGCATATTAAAACCATTAAGTGATTATGGCAGTGATTCGTACTTGCAAGTTACACCGCCAACCGTGAGCGAAGCGAGTCAAAAGATATACGCAGAATATTGCAAAGTGCCGCGTAACTTCAATACTGTGCCGAAATTCGAAGAAACAGATGTGCTATACCGTTATGTGCAAATGCTCTGAAGTCGCGGTTGAATGTGTAGACGAGTTGAATAAAGTATTAATATTAGCGACTAACTTCGAAATATCTATTATCGATGCCGAGATATGGAGAGAACATCGGCGACCGAGGTGTTGCCATTAGCAGCTTCACCGACTCCTTACCATCCAAGTGGGAAATACTACAACAACAACGCCCAGAAAACCCTGGTCTCAGCGGATATGTCCCCGATCTTCGCCTTTCTCTCGCTCTCTGTCTTGTTATATTATATTAAGCATATAATTTTATGCAAATTTTGAATATTTTTTTTCGTGAATTTTATTTTAATAAAACCGTTTGCTAATATATAATATTATCACAATGGTATAATATTGTGTAAATCACAAATTTAACACAGGATGGGGGTTGTACATTTCTTAGAACATTAATATTTGTATACATAACCTTTAAATAATATTGTGACGCCAATAATGCACTTTTTTTATATTATTTGCACACCACAATTCACGTGAATAATATGTAATCACGTCCTTCGCATAAATTTAAACTATTTAAATTCGCTTCAAAAGCACCATTGGTGAGATCTAATTTCATACAAATAAGCAGCGGCGGACGCGCATGAGTGAAATGCACGATGGGCACTACGTGCGTGAAACGGTGCGTCTTCACGTCGTAATGATTGTAAGATTTGTTAATTTTCTCTGAAAGAGAAAAAATTCATAACGGTTAAAAACGTACGAACTCATTACATTTTAACTTACTCTCATCCACATCACAGAAGGCACGCACTTTGCACTTGAACGCTTGTGGCAGCTCGCGAAAAAACTTACGTCCACGTTTACCCGCATTCCATATGGTGAAACCACTGCACCACGGCTCGCAACACAACACATGCGTGAGCAAATGTTGCATACGCAATTGCCAAATAGTTTCGGCAACAATTGAGAATGTGGTTGCCGCCGCATGATAACGATAGAGCAGCAGGCATTCATTGATACGCAGCACGCGTCCACCGCGATCGAGATGCGCATAGAAAAAGATAAGATCTTCGGGCGTGCCATGGCCGCGTTCGCAAAAGCCACCTGGTATGCGTTCGTAGACGCGACGATGGCATAGCCAAGTGGGCATAATCACCGTCGGTCCATTGGCAGTGTATATCTGTAACGGCAGTTTTGTGGCATCCAATTCGTTTGCCCAACGCGTGAAGCGACAGGTGGAATTCGGCGGCGTGCGCACGAACTTGCAGCCAATGAGCTTGAAAAATTTAGTGTATATTAACAACAAGAGCAAGCGTTAACTTTAAATTAAAATTTGTTTATACTCACGGCATCCTTATTGGCGCGCGCCAGCAAATATTGTTGTTGTATACGCGTTGGCAGCATTTCATCGTCGATATCTAGAAAGCACAAGTAGGCACCGCTCGCCAGCTCTATAGCGCGATTGCGGCCATAACCCACTAGCCGTAAATGTAATAATTAAGTTTACTTAAAATAGTTATTTTCAAATTAACAATTAACGTGCAAAAGCACGCACCTCCTTTGGGCTTTTCACTTTCATTTCGCACTATAAACATCCGTATCCGTTGTCTACGAAATTTGCGTTGCCAAATTGTCAACATTTCTCTTGTGCCATCCGTACTGCAATCATCGAAGACACAAACCTCAATTTGAAACTTTTGCTTGCTTTCCACTTCCTCTGTTTCGGGCTGTGATGTCACATGTTCCAACAACCCATTGCCGTCCTCCCACTTGTGTTGTGCTGACTGCATTTGTTTTGATTGTTGTTGCTGCTTTTGCACATGAACAGCTGTGCATTGTCGGAGTATCGACCGAAAACAATTGTCAACCCACTTTTCGCCATTGAGCACAGTGACAATTATAGACTATTTTCGCAATTGTTATGCATGCACAAAACAAGGAAATGGAAAATATTTTCATCATTCATTTATTTAAATAGCTTTTATGCACTTTAACGTACCACTGTGTCCTCGCTCATTGATGGGGATGACTTACAACAAAAAATACAATTGCCGGCAGCAACACAACAATCTGATTGGAGCAGAAATCCAGTTATGAATATCTATGACGCGCTGCCAGATGAGTGGTCTTTGAAAGCAGTGTAGAATTATATATTCCGTTGACATTTGCTTACATACATAATATATTTAATTTGAAATATTTCCTCTAAAACAAAAACAAAAATAAAAATAACAAATGTATACGTTACTACAAAAAAGCAAGTACAGAGCGAATGTATAGACAAAACACATAACAATTCGATTTCCGTTATCTGGTATCACGCATTTCCTTTTGCTTGTGGAAGTCATTTGTGTGGAATTTATTCGACCGCGTAAATGCAAAATTTGTCAAAGTGCGTTGTTCTTCAAATTTTAACAATTTTTACGTTTGCTTACGGTTTAATTGAAAATGTAATTAAAAAGGTTATATGCTTTGATAGGCGTGTCGTTTGTGCTGTTGTCTTTCAATATATTTGCTTGCAAGTGTGAGAAGTTTTGTTTATGGACACAATTTGTTATTGTGTCTAAACCTGCAAGTCAGGACGTTGAAAGTGTTTAGTGATTGAAAATTTGTGTTTATGATATTTCAAATGGTGTTTTCGTAAATTAAAAGTTCCTCGTAGTTTAATTAACAATATGTCGATCGAATTTATAACTATTTTTATAATTTAATTATATAGTGTAAAATAATTCAAGCTGCTGAGCTGAATATAGAAGGTACAATCTTCTATAAGAGTGTACAACTCCTGATGTATATCGATATCATTGGTCATAACAATACTCGTACTAGTTTCTCCAGGTTGGACAAAGAATAGAAGCAAATGGGTTTGGTAATGAACGATGGCCAAACGAAATATCTCTTGTCAACAAAAAACCGGCCGCCGTATTCGCGACTAGACACGTCACTGTTGACAGTCATAACTTTAAGATATAAATAATTTCGTCAATACTGGAACCAGTATTAACACCAACAACAATGTCAGCCTCGAAATCCAACGCATAATCAATTTTGCCAACATTTGCTGAGATACAGAAGTTCGTTCTAAGTAAGAAATTGTGAAGTATAGCACCTACTCGACGAACAATAACCAAATTCTAAAAGTCACTCATCATTCCCTTCCTGGTATATAGTGCAGAAGCATGGACGATGACAACATCTGATGAGTCGGCGTTTCGAGTTTTCGAGAGAAAGGTTCTGCGGAATATTTATAATCCTTTTCTGATTGGCAACGGCGAATGCTGCAGTCGATATAACGATGAGCTGTACGAGATATACGTTAACATTGACATAGATCAACGAATTAAGGGACAGCGAATCCGTTGGGTACGTCATGTCTGAATAGGTGAAAACAGTCCCGCTCTGATAGTGTTCGTCACAGTTCCCGCCGGGTGGAAACAGAACAAGAGGAAGACTTTCACTCCGTTGGAATTGGCGCCAAGTAGTGAAAAGAATGAACGACTGGCGTGCTATTGTAAACCCGTCTATAACCGCGAAAGCGGTGCCTACGCCAATAAAGACTCGTTTAATGTGTTATTAAATTATAATATTTCGGTAAGTCTGCTAAAGATTATTGCAAAAGTCTCCTTTCATGGTCAAAATATCAAATATAGGAAATGAACCAATTTTGTCTACTCTGGGCGAAATTTTCTCCAAATCATATTTAAGTATTTGAAACAAAACGAATTGATGTTGGCCCGTTTTGTTTGACCGCAAATATTTCTTAAAATGCATAATGCATAAGGTAATTCCATAACCAGTGGAATATCACAAACAGCATTTGAAAATCTCATTATAATGCTCATAACAGTGCTAAAAATAAAAAATTGGACGAAACCTTAGCCTTACCCTTAACGGATATCATAATTTTCGAGCATCTGAATGACTTTACTCCATGTAATTAGTGATTGTATATAAGTTACTTAAATGAAACCCAGGGAACATTTTTTAGTATGTGGCATGTGAATGAGTGATATACATATATGTAATTTCTGCAAGTTGCACGAGTGTAAACATAACTTTAGTGAAACCTTTCAGGATATTATCGTTGATCTTACGTTGTAGAATTTAAAGTGAATCTAAGTGACTTCCAAATATACAAATAGTATATGTATATGGGGGCTGGGGGAATTTGTGGACTGATTTTTAATCCAACAATTTTTTAAACAAGTGTAAAAATGTATGAATTTATTTTAGATGTGAGTCCCCTGATTACAACAAGAAAAATACTTTCTCTTGGTTTCATTGTTTTGTGTCTGCAATTCCTCGATATAAAAGCTATGATTTGTACCAAGTTCTATTTCGATATCTTCATTAGTGTTTGATTTGTATACTGTAAAGTGAAAGATTAGATTAGTCCAATTTCGCCTATCTGCAATACCAACGTTCTTCGAATGCCAAGAAACACACGATATCTCCATGTTTACTCAAACCATCGCTTGTACGGACTGATGGACGGACAGATAGCTACTCGGAATTCAATTAATTGTGACTGAATGATCACTTATGTGTGTATACCATATAGCTCTAGATAGATGACCAAAACTATAAATGTTTGTGAGAGTTTACAAAGAGTATCCTAAAATTAGGATTTTCGGGTGCATTCTGAATTTTGACCGTGGCATATGGTAAAGCTATCTTGCACAGCAGAAAACCGTTCTTAAAAAGCTTGCGTCAAACGATTAAGGAAAAGGGTGATTAAAAAAGAAGTACTTTTTTCAAGCAGTTTTTGTTCAGTATTGCTTCTCATTTCATTATGGAAAGACTAACGCTTCAACATTCTTTATAAATCGTTCAACTTTATTACGAAAATTCACGTTCTATAAACGTCCTACTGGGCGTACTATTTGCAACACCACCACCCATCTTGAGACCCTGTATTCATCATTGGATAATATTCGACCGAATGGACCACGTCCAGCACGCAGTGAAAAAAATTTAGCAGCCGTAGCTGAGAGCGTACACGAAGAGCGGTTAAAGCCGATTCGACGCCGTTCGCAGCAACTCGGACTTGCGTATGGGACGACTTAGCTCTTTTACGTCGAGATCTTTAGTTAAAAGCGTTCAAAATAACGGTTGTGCAAGAACTGAAATCGCTCGAAATTACCAAGCGACATCGCTTCGCTTTACGTAAATGTTAATAAGTTCCAAGAAGATCCGACGTTTTCGAGCTACATTTCACATCAATTAATGAATTTATTGAGAGAACACTTCGAAGGGCAGATAATTTTACGTTTCGGATTGGTCAATGGGCCACCAAAATCGTATGATCATGATCATGCCATTAAATTTCCCCATTCAATTCGACGTTTCTATGTTTTTCCTTAAAAAAAAGTAGGGCAACTCGAAATGGATCATCCTTTAATTTAACAATGTATAAAGTATTATTTATCAAATGACAAAAATACATACAATTCTTCTAATCTCTTTTATTTTTTTTTTTTTGCACATTGTTTTGATAATTAATATTCTAGGTCACACTGTAAATTCCCCAAGACCCTTCCACATATTTCAAATAAATGCAACATGTTGTTTTTTTTTTGTCAAAATTCAAGTACAATTTTTATTTCTTACACAATTTTTAATATCCTTTTTTATTAATATAAAAAGATCGTAAATTTAAAACTTAACTATAAATAGGATTACACGTTGATGTATTTTAAGTAACTTTCTTGCCTATAAAATGATAGCTGTCATATGCTTTAAGACATTTAGACATAATGCTCGCTTTTAGGCTTGTACTGAAGCAAAATTCCTGTTTTTTGTTACAATTGCAGTTTACAAATAATGTTCACATGATATTTTATATATATACAAATGTTGAAAATCAAGCAACTAACTAAAAATACTTTTACATGGTTTTTATACATATCTAGTAACAAATTCTTTGACGACAAAGTCTTCTATAAATATGTATGCAAATGATTTAAGAACGTGATTATGAGGTTTTTGTTTTTGTTTTTCTTTTTTACTTTAATCCTTTTTTCCAATATGGAAAATACAAAGGTAAGCAAGTAAAGTAACTAATAATATACGTTAAAGTAGTGGTGATGAATTAGGTAATATGGATGTATGAATATGTATGTGTATGTGTGTGGCGAAAGTATTTCGTTTAAATGCACGCAATGCAATTCAGTCTTAAGGCAGCATAAACACAAACTTAAACTATACAATGGATATTTTTCGCGATTAAGGAAAGATACATGTATGTTTGATGTAGAATTTATCGCTTTCATATTATTTTTACCCCCACTAATATGAAAGAAAGAAAGAAACGTCAACGCTTCTTTAACCAACCAATTGTAATTGAATTACAGTTATTTGCTAATTGCCAGCAGCACTGCTGCATTTTGCATTATGTGCAATTCCTTATATTTGTAAGCATTTCCGACTGCCATGACTCGCATAAACATTTTCGAAGGCATTGATCAGCTCATCCATGCCCTTGAGTAGACCCTCCTCACAGTTACCGGGTATCCATGTGGCGCGATGATTCACATTAACACCAGCTGGCAGTGGACGCGACTTGGCAAAGTCGATTAACCAAGCGCCCACTTTATCATCATCGTAAACGATGAATATGCTCGAGCCAACCACCTCGTGACGCTGAAAGAATGTCGATTTCTCCATCACCATACGCATATGTTTCAGCCGCTTGATTAGTTCCTTTGTCACCGACCGTTTTGCGCCCAGAAACTGTTCGATAGTTTGTGTAATTTGATCGCTATTACGTACCGTCTTCAGATCTTTAACGGGTGGACGACCGCGTAGACGCAACGCTTCGATGCGAAAACCTTTCGATTGTGATGATGACATCGATTCGCGGAAAAGCATATAACGTAGTTTGGTAATAGCCTGCGTCGACTCCTCATCGGCTGTGGGCGCCAATGGATCGACGGCAACCATTTTCTTATACAAATCCGGTCGCAATGTCTTATTGGTCACTTCGGATTCGAGAAATGTGCGGCAACCCATTTTGATGTCCATCACACAGGGATCCTTGAAGCCCGTCAAGAGATCTTGTAGTTCGATAAAGTTTTC